AGTTTAGTTTGCTGTGTCCGACGAGAGGATTCACAACCAGCAGTGGAATCACCTCAAGCCACTGGTGCGGCCAACCCTGGAGCATGGAGGCAATGGAGGCTCCATCTACATCCACTGCATGGCCGGTGTACACCGAGCACCGGTGGGAACAGGGATGATCCTCAGCGCCCTGAAGGGGCAGTCGTTGGATGAGTCCATGAAGCATTTGGCCTCTGTCAGGGCCATTGAGCACCACAAGATGTTGGGCGATCGCTACAGGAAGTTCACCAAGTGGGTGCACGATCGCGCCGAAGGAGAGTCCTTGCCCGAGAACTTCGCGGCGATTCCGCTGAGATTCATTTCAGCTGAAGCGGACAAGTCCTTGTGGCACGTAGTGCCCATCGATTTCAACTCAGATGCGCCCAACCCCGTTTGTCAGTGGAAGAAACGGGAGTCATTCTTTAAGAGCAATGTCTGCTTTGCAGACTCTGTGCAAGAGGCATTGTGCATGAAAGGCCCTTCTGCCGCAATTGCGCGCAATTCATGCCAGCAGGAGCACTCGGTATTTTGGAAGAGTCAGCTGTCGCCTGGCGCACGCCCCGCTGACTGTCCCGTCGCCCGAGGAAAACAGGTGCGAGTTCTGCGGTCCGGACCGTGAGAACCTGCTGTGACCATGCTGTGGTTTTGTCTAGAGCGTTTCTTTTTGTGTTTAGCTTTCAGCATTCAAGATGGCTAGCCCTACTGCCATGTCGATCCAGCGGCTGCTGTTGCTGCAGTACCCCATTCGTGAAGCACCTTTTCTCCCATCCTTGTGGATCATGTTTGGCCAGATCAGCCTCCTGCACGAGTTGGTTGACTCGTTTCCCGTTGAAGTACACTGGTTGGGGCCCTCGTGGATGGTTTTCCTCTCTGAGCTGAAAGGTATTATTTGGGAGATGCTGAATGGGTTCTCAGTTGGGCGGCACTTGGCTCACGATGCGCCACCCCCGCTCCCTGAACCCGAGGTCACCAACTGCCAACATGAGGCAGCCAATTGCCAGCAGTACTTGGTTGCCTGGGCCTTGAACCTGGACGCGATGTCAGGGTTGCAATTTCAAGCAGCACTGGGGGGGCGCCGTGGAGGCTTGCCGCAGCCCGTTTGCTGCACTACCGGAAGTTGAGCTGCTTGATGAGCTGACTGAGTACTTAGGGTAGATTCGGCCCCTGAAGTCCTGGGGCACTGGGACCGCCCTTGGTGAGCTTCGCCAGGAGTATGAAAAGTCTGGTGGAGAAGCCGCGTCAGGCCGGAAGGGTCCGCGTCGTTGGCCGAATGCCATTCACAGACTGAAGGTCCCGACAGATGTTAGTTCGGAATAGATGCAATTTTGCAGTTTGATTCAGTCGAGCTGTTTTCCTCAATGTTCAGCCTTCTTTGTGTCAAGCTATCTGCAGTGTCCCAATTGCTTTTAGCACCAGCCATGTCGACCCCTGAAGCTGTTTTCAAGGAGCTGCAGGATAGATTCGACTATGATGAAGCCATCGCAAAGGAGATTCTTGCGACCGGTGTGACGTCGCTTTCCGAATTTCGTTTTTACTCTTCCAATGAAGAAGATGTGGTGAAGACTTTTGTCACCCCGATTACTGAGCTGGACAAGCCGCGGCTGCAAGCTGCGCGTGTGAAGCGCGCCTGGTCTTCAATTGCGCAGGCCGAGAAGGCTGGTGATGCGAGCCAAGTGGAGGGCGTTCCACTTGAGGAGGATGAGTGCCTTCCAGCCAGTACCCTTTCCTCCATGAAGGAGGTGTTTTGGAAGCGCTACCATTGGTTGCCGCCTCCTGAACAGCAGCCAAGTGATAAGCTGCTGAGCAAGTTGAGCCGAGCGCTGCAGAAGAAGAACCTGGAGGTGATGAACATGTTCCAGGTGCGGACCTTGGCCAACCAGCGAGTCGCTACCTCCAAGCGACGGAAGGTTGCGCCCATGGTTTGGGTCGGGGAACCCGCCGACGAGGAGCAGGCTGTGCAGGAGGATTGTGCATCCTACCTGGAGTGCCTGTTCGTCTACATGGTCGCGTTGGCGATGGCAGGGGCCGGCCCCATTCTCCCAGCGCCGACCGAGGCAGAGTCGATTGCCACTCTGTCTCATGATTATGTTGAGTTTCCATTGGGCCTGGCCTGGAAGTACCATTTTCGTGCAGTGGAGGCCAGCAAAGAAATTGGTGAGCGCATGAAGCTCCCGCACATCTCCTCTCTGGATCTGAACGAGAGGGCTGTTTGGTGCCAGAAGTATTCCACCGGCACGGAGAAGCTTGGAGCGATTGTTTATCGCATCTTCATGGAGAGGGATGTGCATAGGTCAGCGGTGGCCATTTACCCTCAAGGAGCATCGGCCAGTGGGCCGCCACCTGAGCCGGCGGGGACTCCGCCAGCTGCCCGAGGAGGCGACAAGAAGGCTGGGAAGCTTTCGACCACTTTCCGTGATGGAACAAAGCTATGTGGTTCGTGGCAGCATGGGCGCTGTGATCGGCAGCGCGAGGCTCGGTGCCCGAATGGTGAGCACCGTTGCGCACACAAGCTGAAGAGCGGGCGCATCTGCGGTGATCCGTATCACACAGGGAGCAGGTGCAACAACAAGCAGAAGCTCTGAGAGGGGGAAAGTATAGTTTCGCAACCGGAGAATCCGGGCCCTTCCAGCACCCCAGGCGCTTTGGAAGAATTCCACCAGCATGTTGACACTATCCAGAATGGATGACCAGCCTCAGGTCCCTGTCTTTTTGGATTTGCTGTCCGGACCGCATTTCCCGTTAGCGCAGGCGTTTGAGTGGGCTGGTTGGAAAATTGTTCAACCAATCGACCTTCTCATTGACAGTGAATTTGATTCAGTCAAGCCTTCCGTACAGAAAGCCATCAATGCAGTACTGCCTCAGTGCCACCTTGTGAGTGCTGCCTCAGTGCCACCTTGTGAGTGCTGCCATCGATTGTTCCACCAAGAGTCGAATTCGTGAAATCAAGCTGCCAGGAACGAATGCTCCGAAGCCTTTGCGAACCGAGAAGTTTCCTCGGGGGGCTCCCCACCTTGACAGGTGCCAGCAAGGACCGGGTAGAGAAAGACAATAGAGTCAGCGATTACCTGTTGGCGATCCAGCGTGTGATCAACCTACATGAGCGAGGAGCTTTTCGGGAGAACCCCAGCAGAAGTCTTCACTGGGTGGACCCAGTGGAAGATCACATGCGTCAAGATGGATGTTGGTCCGACTTTTACTACGAAAACTGTTGCTTTCTAGCTGCCAGGAAGAAAGCCCAAACCATCCGGCACAACGTCCCCGAGCTGAGGTCATTGCCCAATTTGGTCCTTGGTGTGTCCCTGGACGCTTGCGCGTAGCTGGGAACACCTGTTTTCGGTCTTTTTCCTCTCTCCCTCTTTTCCCTCTTCCTTCTTCTTTTGGGTGTCGCTGGATGCTTTCGTCATAGCTGGCAACCCTTCTCTTCTTCTCTTGGTGTGTCCTTGGACGCTTGTGTCGTAGCTGGGAACACCTTCTTTTCCTTTTTCCTTTCTTCTTTCTTTCTTCTCTTCTCTCCCTTCCCCTCCCTCCTGTCGGGACCTTAGTACGGGACGCTACTAGGGGCTCCTGGCCTTACTACTAGGTGCAAGGACGCTACTAGGTAAGAACAGCCTCCCCTTGGGGAGGCGTGTGTGTGTGTGCCCCTTGTAGTCACAGGGATTCTTTTGAATTGTTTTCGTTTACTTCAGCAGGGGGGCGCAGCAGATGCAAGGGACTGCGCCTAACAAAGCTACCTTGCATCTGGGAAGCAGAGCCTGATCAGCTCTGTGTACCTGCTTGATTTTTAACATTTGCTGAGAAGTGTCGTCAAGTGCTAGTGAGTTCTGCAGATGTGCACGGACCGCCGTCATCTTGTTCGACCCGTGATCGTCGATTGGGTTCTTCCGCTTTGGGCCATTTCTCCTTTTGAAGACCTCCAGGATCCGTGGTTCTTACTTGTACTCTTAGGAATTGGTATCCTAGGCCGGCGTGTGGCACCGCTGTCAGTCCGTATGCATATCCATAAGTGTGTGTGTTTGTTTGTATGTCTTTGTGGTTTTCTTAAAACTTAAACCTGTCGCATACATTCTTAATTTTGGCCTACTTGTCAAACTGAGATTGGCCGTTGATAAAGTGGAACCAGACACGAGGATTGCACTGAAACAAGAATTGGGATTGATTATGGTTTTTGCTTTAAGTTCAACCAGCTCAAAAATTATGATTCTTTTTTGAACTGAACCGCCTTGACTTGCGAAATTTGACACTACCAGGACCGGTACAAACGTAATGAAACTATGAACAAACAGGGGGTCATAAAGGGCACTACACCCCCAGAGACACCAGATTGCCAAAAAACATCCATAATTCAACCCACCACCAGACACAAATCCTAAGAGATTTGAGGCTGATGGCTTCAAAAGCCTAGGGGAATCCATCCAAAGACAGGTTTCGGAAAGGGGGTGGGGCCCAAGCTGTAATCTTCCACGGTGATCCATCCAAAGCATGTCCATACATGTCTCCAAGCCACTCGCAATTAGGTTGGGGGAGGTGATTTTATATATTTGGGTTTAAGGTTAGTTGTTCAAAACATAGTCCCACAGGGGGTAGAATTACCATGTTATATCTATAAAATGGGTAGCAGTAAGGCCCCCTAGCAGAATTGCCATGGGTATCAAATTTGAGGTTTGGTGGAAAAGAGGAAGTCAAAGAAACTGGAAAACCGTTCCAAACGAAGATCCACACCTTTTTGTTGAATCTTCTCGTGCCTAACATCTTATGGGATTTATGGGGTACGTGACAATATTTTGATTTGGTGTGGTATGATTGGTTCCCGACCAGCGATGTGAATATACCGAAGGTCCAAAAAAATGCAAGCACTTTTTCAACGTGGATGTGGAGTGGGTAAACCCCCACCGCCCCCGTTGCACCATGAAACCATGGCATCGCAGTTCCACCTCGGCTTTTCCAGCCACGGTGTGGCGCGGTGGGCGCGGTGGTGGCGCCAGGCATCGTGCGGCGCGTCCATTGCGCGGCGGTCACCTTCAAAGATTGGCAGGTGCGCGGCGGTCGGATACTATGGGAGAGGGGTATCTCCGGGATCCGAAGAAATCCGCTGTTGGATGGAGCTGGGTGTTTCTGGGAAAGACAATGGAAGCAGGCAGGAGAGTAAAGAAGGTGGAAGGGGATCACACGTGTTTACGACCCAAATTAGAATCTTTTTCAGAAGGAGTTGGCCTTAGCTAGCCTACTACTTGTATGATGAGCAGCGTTTTGGGAGGGTGTTCCTGCAAGACCACATGGTTGGCACAAGGCTGCAGGCACGGCCAGGCACGGCAAGCATGGCAAGCACGACAGCCTGAGTTGTTGCTTCATGCAGGTGCAGTGCATGTCGGTGACAGCCAATCTGCCATTTTCGCGCCTTGGCTGCGTCGACTGCCGTCTCAAGTGGATCATTAAAAAAAGAACTGAGCGTGGCTGTGGTGGTCATGCCAATTTTCCACATTTGTCGATAGTTCAACAAAGCAATTAAGATGAGAAATCGGATGCTAGCAGAAAGGATATCGACAGATGCCTGGCGGCCTGGATGAAGAAAACATGTTTGTTTTCCCATGCTTTCCGAGCATTTTACTATAGAAAATTGACAGCTTGGTTCTTGAAGGGTCACTGCATGTCACTGCAGTACTTGTTGGATAAACACGAGGCGCTAGACTCTAGACAAAATGGGATGCCCAGAAACTGGTGGTGCCGCAAAACCTCCCGGGTCATCATCACATTTGTGCAAGTGTTGATTTCAAAGACCGAACTCGTCGCTTGACCCATCTGCGTTGGAACATCCCTAGGGATGTTCCCAGAGCGTTCCGTCCCACATGTGGGCGGTCCCTGTTCGGCACATTCGGGTCGTGCCGATTGCGGGCGGTTTCGACCGGCCCAGCCCGGTCGCCTAGGATTGACCTGAACCACTCGGTGGCCAAGCTGCTGGACGCCGATGCCGGAGACGGTTTGCGCCTGACCAGCGAAACCAGGCGCCGGCGAAACCCGGCGTGTTGGTGCAATTGGAAGGATCAGGAGTGATATGTTCGGTGGTGAATCCGGTTTAAGAGAAGCTAACGGAGAGAGAGGACTCAATGGGTGCGTTGTGGCAGGGTTTCCTACGGTTGTATTATATAAGTAGACGAAAACAATGAAACAATACGCCTGTGTTGTCAGATTTTTGTATCTTATTGTTTCCTACAGTTGTATTATGTCCCAAATTGGCACACCAAACACTTGGTCGCACCCTCCCGCACGCTCTTCGGTTGAGAACCGAGCGACGGATGTCGTGGACGGAGTCGGCCGCATCGGCCGCAGGTCCACATTGGTGGTCGAGGTGAAGGAGACTTGAAGTGCTGGGTGGTGGGGCACCAACTGGACTTCCAGTTTTGTGCACGGCTTCGTTTGAGCAACAGGGGTGTCCGTAGACTTCCTAGACCGTAGAGACATCAAACAGGCAAAAGCTCCAAGATGGAACTATATGGAACTACATTGTCAGGTCAGGAACTCGTGTTTTCTCTACGTTTCAGTGTTTCAGCGGCGTCATGTCTGGGAGTTTTTGGTACTTCTTTTTTGTTCAGTAGAAATATATACTGCAAATTCTAACTCTAGGTGAAGTTCCTGGCCGGCTGGGAGATACATGGCCAGTAGGCCTACTGTATCCACTACGGTTCCTACTTTTCGGATGTCCAACTGGCCGAAAAGAAGAACCTTCCTCCTGCACCAGGACCTCGGAAACCTTCGCGCCACTTGGTGAAGATGACCATGACGACCCACTGCGATCCAATCGGCAAATTCCAGCTGAGATGGGGGGTTCCCCGTTTGAACTTGTTTGGGGGTTCCAAACATTTCTGTATACAACCATTTGTTCGAACAGTTTATGTTCAAAACTGTTTGAACAATCGATTTCATCCAATTGCCACTTCAGTTTTCTCTATTTGTAGCATTTTTCTAGCAGCCGCCACGGCAATGGCAGGCTTATCATGTGAATTCTTGTGTTTGCTCGGTCGGAGAAGCGTTTCACCGTTGCTGAAGAAGGTGGGATGTCTCTATTTCATTCTATTTTCCCAAACAGAATGTCCGCAACTAAGGGGTTCTAATGGTGAGGGTGCAGGGTTTGTGGTGGGCTTCGCGCAAGCACAGTGAGTGCTCTTGCCCACAGTGGCGCCCAACCAGAAACAAAAGGACCCTCAAGATGGACTCCCAACGGCTAACGCTCGTGGAAATGCCCACCTGTTCTCCACCATGCAGCTCAAGACGGACCCCACAGAACAGCTGTGGTCTTGCAAACTCGATGCACGGCAGCCTGCGTGCTTGTTTGTCAAAGGTCGAGGACGGCATTGCCACCATGCTCAGCTCAGTGAGACTTGCGTTTTTGGTGCCGGCAAAAAAAGGACAACATAGAACGTTTTTGTTCCGGACAAAAAGGACAACATAGAACAATAGTATATAAACAACATGAAACACAGATAAAAAACAAGCGGCGCCCAAAGTCTTCGCGGCCTGCGGACCTAAGCGGTAGAGTGGCTTGAAGTCTTCATTCTCTGACCACTTGGCATGACTTCCCCCAACTAGGAGACCCCATGTTCGTTTCGCGCGGAAGGTGCATTACTTTGGTGGGCCTTTGTCGTCCCCTAGTTGTCATTGCGTTCTGATTGTGGTGCCCGTTAAAATTGTGGTGCCCCTTAAAATATGATTTCCCCTCCCTCCCTCGTAAACCATATAGTCAATTCAATCCCAGGTTGCTTATGGACTCCTTCCTTGAACAAAATTTTGGACCAGTGCGTGAGGAATATAATAGATTTTGAAAGAAATGCTGGGGTCAGAAACACTTGGCTATTAATTGTTTTAAAGGGAGTTCTTTTGCGATCGGTTTTGATTATTCCATTCCTTTTGATCTAACCAGCACCCAACATTACTACAGCAATTTATCAGATGACTGTTCAACCACATTGAACCATCAAGCAAGAGTACCATAGAATCATTTGAATCATAGTGTGTCAGACTGAGGTGCATGTGTCGCAGCGAGGGCTCTTGATGGTCTACACCCGAGACATGTCTGTGGCCGTGAAGGCCTTCCAGGTGCGCTTGGCATGACTGGAACGCCGTCGTTAGGATATTTCTCCAGGTGTGCTTGGCCGTAGCTTTCTTTTACTGTTAGATCACCCCCATGCAACGGGGTATTCAACACGCATCCATGGGTGATACAGGACTACTGGAGCATAAAACACTGCAGGATATTTTGATTATTCTTTCCAACGTCACATCCCATATTTGTACCCTTTGTAACCCTTTGCACATTGTTTCCTTTGTTTGACCTCATGTGTGTCCGGCTGGTTGGGAACATCTTGAGGAATCCATCGACTGTGCTACTTCTTCACCAGCGCCACGTTTCTCGAACCTCCGCCCGCGCCGCCCGCGCCGCCCACCGGCGGACCAGGTGTTGGCCGGCGTCTTGCAGGCTTCGGCCCAGTGGTGGTCGACCGAACTGCAGGACTGGTCGGGGGGGCCGTCTCGGAGGCCGGGGAGGCTGCTTCCAAGGCGTGGCGGCGCCGGGTGGAAGATGTTCGTCAGCATGGCTCAGACATGAACAGGAAACCCGGCCCACGTGTTTCCAAGTGCTTTTTCGCGTAAGGATCGGTCGGAGGGGGAGATTTTGAAACGTCGTTGGATGGGCATGGGTAGTTTGATCGGAAGACAGTGACTAGTGAGTTCAAAGGCTCTTTGCATCTCGTTGCATGCAGTATGTACTTATATATATATATAGTGATATAGTGGGATATAATGGGATAAGTTCTACAGCTTCCATCAATAAGCCAAAAGCCACGAACTTGCTTCTGCCAGCGAGTGTGCTTCATGCCTCATTCCGTGTCTCGTTTCAGGTGCCAGACCTCCGGAACGCGCCCTGCCCGATGGAAAGCTGCGCCGAAAACGACCGCTTGCTGCGCTGCGCTGCGCAGCGAGTCGCGCGAGAACGACCGCGAGTCTTCGAAGAGCCAGTCGTTCTCCGGACCGGTCCTGACAACGTCGTTTGTACCACAGAACGTACTACATCTCTTTGCACATATTCCTAGGAAGACTTGCTGAATCTTGCTGATGTGGCTGATGTCCCTTTAGTTCTTGATGTTTCTCTCTTGAGGGGGGCTGTCATGTCGAGCCAAGAAGTAGAGATACGGTCATCATCCCCAGTGCAGGCGGCGCTTGATTGACAAGGCCCACGGGTGAACCCTCCAGAAAGGGCATGGATCGGTGGGAACATGCGGGTGTTTGTCCAAACAGAGAACAGGAGGGGGCACGAATGATTCAAGTTCTGCGTTGTCCGGGGGGCACCAGAGGGGAATTCTGCAATCATCGACCACCCCCGGTCTGACCTGTTCCAGTCCCAAACAAGTCCTTGGAGACGGATGGGGTGCCCGATGGGCCCGGGGCGACCACAAGGGGAACTCGGTGGAGGGAGCCGAGCAGTTCCACCCAAAACCAGGTTGGTTGCTGGGTGAGGACTCAGCTAGACAAGACTTCACAGGCTGATTTTCTTAAAAACATGTTTTCAGGGATGGCTGATCAATAAAGCACCCCAACATACACCATTGTATGGAGATTGGAGGTCAGGATGGCACTGGCGCCCCCCAACGTGCCTTGGACAGATGGAGGTCCAACATCAACCACCGACCTTGGGGATTGTGCCATTTTTTCAATCCACCTGAAAACCACTGGATTGTAGAGGAACATTGTCTTCCAAAGGTCAATTTAAAGATATTACTAAGGTTCCATGTTAAATTTTCCCAGCTGTTTATCTCTTCAAGGCTTGACACCAACTAAACAGAAGCTGCCGACAGCGCCGTTCGTCACACCACGGTGTCGATCCGCCAAGGATATATAACCACCGGACCGGGTGCTGAGACAAACGACGAGCCGGTCAGCCTGACCCGGCCAGGTGTGGCATTGGTCGCCTCTGGATTTCTTGAGGATGGGCAGCGCGTGGGGGTGTCTCAGCGCGTTGGGGTGCTTCTCGTCGCCAAACATCCAGATGTCTGTTGCTGTTTGTGCTGGACGTGTTTGGGCCCGATCGCGAGACGTTTCCTAAATTTGGTAATTTGGTGAGCAGACGTTGCGTGTGGCAGTTGCCATCAGTTGCCAGTAATTACCATTTGGCTCCGATGACGCTGGAAGGTGGGTTCAATAGACCTGACTGGGTTTGACAATGGATTCATAGATACATATACATCAGACATTTGTCAAACAGAGTAACGTAAAATGAACCGTTGAAACCCTGTTGTGCTACCATGTGCTACCCAAAGGTGTCCACCTCTCTGAGACATCTCTTAAACATGCATTGGAGTTCACATTTCTATCTTGAGGTTTGTTCGACTCGAGGTGTTGCACGAAGATGGCGTTGACGCTCCGCTCCCGCGCTCTGCCACTCTTAGGCCCTCTTCGGAGGCGTCCGAGAGCACAGGCGAAGCAGGCACGGTGCCGCTGCTTTTTTTCCCTCCCAAATATGTGGGTGGATCATGGGCTGAGAGGACAGCATAGCATGCATAACACAGCTACACTCCGACGAACGCATCACATGGAAGTGGAAAACCCTCTGTTCGTAAAGGAAAGCTGTCTTCCAAGGGACCACCTTCCATGTTAGTGAGTCAGAGTGTACCAAAAAGATGTCCCATTCTCTCATGAAATGTCCCAAGAGTTCCATCTGGCAGCCAGAATTCCACTCCGGCTCTGCCGGGTTTGGCACCTGTGCCCCCACCGGTTGAAGGAAAACCCACTCCAGTTGATGGAGTTTGGGGGAGCCTTCCCAACTCCAAGGGGTGCACCTTCCCAACTCCAAGGGGTGGATCCAACATGTTCATTTGGGTGTGTATTGAACTAGGGAGACCTTCCAAAGATCCCTTGGAAGAAGGGAAAATAGACCAGTCTACCCATTGGTGGTGGATCTCCCTATTGAAATACACACCCATTTGGTCTTTGGGGAAGATTCAATTGTTTGGGCGCTGTAAATGGGCACAGCAGGTGTGTTGAAACAGGTCGACCCCGTTGGTTGGAGGGTTTGCGTATTCTACGATGCACCCAAATCAATGGAAACTGTTTTCTGCTTGGTTTGGGTTTTCTCTACAACAGAGCAAACCTGCTCGATTTCAACATGCCTTATCTAGGTGTTGTGCTTAGAAAGACCACCGGCCATATGTCCTGCTTCTGCTTTGGGACGTTTCTTCTTCACCCTCTCATAGGATCAGTCGATGGCATCCATCACCCAGGGATACCCAATATATTTTTTCCGTAATACGTATATCCCAGACACTCCATTTATGTTTGCTTACATTGACATACATTGACCCCTCAAACCACCCCAATGCGCCACCATATCAAAACGACTCTCCTGATGGTCAAGAACATTCGCGCTCCTCTGTCCATGAGGTGCGCTGGTAGCAGTCAAGCCGAAGAGAACCTGGAAGCAATACGTGAGGCGTCAGTGGTGCCCCGGTGCGGATCGCCCGTGGGGGCGCACGGTGGCTGTGGATCTCCCTGGGTCGATGCGCGGATGTGGCTAGCCACCGGAGCGCCCCACACGCTTCAGGAGCGCCCCAATCACATCCTGAACTACCCCCAACATGTGACCGTTTCGTGAATCAATAGAGGACCGCCGGACCGCCAGGCGAAAGAAGTTGCTGGCGACCTGTCGCATGGGGCAGCTGGTCTTTTGGAGCCGCAGGTTTCTGTCTTTAAGGCACTGACGAGCGAGCGGACCTGAGCGGACCATCGGGGTGTCCTGGCTCGACTACCCTACTACTTAGAGAGATCTCCAGCCCGGACACCCTGACGGTCCAGGTCAGTTTTTGAGGACGGAAATCGCACGCTATGGTCGATGTGATGTCCAGAATAAAGCATTAGCAGCTAAAAGAAAGTCGAAACAACTGTGAACCAAGCCAAAAGGTGGAAACAAATGGCGAGAAACGTGGAAACACAATTGAAAAACGTGTGAACAACCGCTGAGCCAGATAAAATCAACTGATTGCCATGACACGAACGATCTCTCACATGGGAAGCATGCTGGTGGCTGGCCGGTCAGCCATATGATTCTCTATTGCAACAAATGCTATTTGCCAGAACAGTTGCCACCTCCATCTTCTTAGTATTCCCTGATCCCATCTCTGACTTTGACGAACGCCGTAACCTTCTAAAACCATCACAACAGAAAACAACACCCTATGTTTGAGTCGCTGAAAAGATCATTAGCAGGTCTTCCATGTCAATCTGGGCCTGGGGGCTACCTTGGCAGTATGCTTTTGAATCCTATCAGGTTTAGTATGTTTGTATACTGTAATCGTAGCTTTTCAAACACCGACCGCCAGAGCCTTCACCGCTCTTCCAGAGTGTTCCGATGTCCCGTCGTAACATGCATCTAATAAGATAGACCGTATATATATATATATACACGCCAATGAGCGGGTATGGCTTTTGGTTTGAAACAAGGGTGTGCGATGAACAGGATTCTTCGAGTTGGCAGAATGAAAGACCCGCCAGCGCGCGCAGGCGTTACGGCAGCTACTACCGGTGAAATTCGGACGAGATGAGATGGTGGGCGCTCCACGCGGCCCATGAGAGGCGGTAGCACTCGTTAGAATCGAAAGGAATCTGATGGTTGTCTTAGTAGATGGCACAAACTCATTTGATCTCTTTTGTGCCATAACATATGTTGAGCCACCTCTTGAAATGGCACACTCTGAAATGGCTTCATCAGCTACACGCAACGTTGCTTGCGCCATCTGCGAGAGGTTTCAATTCTCAAAAACAGGGCTGGCGCCTGCTATCCAGGGTGGCCCTCAAGTGAAAGAGAGGATTGGATCGCATCCAGGTTTTGGATGATTTTGGGTGCAAAGTCGAACCCTACTTACTTCGTTGATCGAACCAGACGACTTGGCGGTTAGGAAGTGAACCTTCATCTTCAAACTGTTTTGCTGAAGACAGAGCGAAGCAAGTGAACCCGGTACAAAACTTAAGCACTTCAAATTTGTTTTGGTATCTGGCTTTATACACAATCGAGTGGTTGGGGCAACTGGTGGGCCAGCCTGATCTTCGCGATGTGCAACAAGAAAGCTCACAAAGCCGGGATCGATCATTTCAACAGTCTCTAGTTTTAGAATTTTAGAACAATCCAAAAGGCGTATATACAAAGATGACTACAAAGATGAGCTTGACTTTTCAGAGTGAGAAAAACGCGGAATGGGGAATTTATCCTGGCAGCGCAGAAGAAAACAACAGCCTCCTCTGAGTGCGCATGTACAAAACTGAAGTCCGTCCCCGAATGGGGGCGCGCACACGCGTGTCCGCCAACGAAGGTTTAAATGGCCACGATGGGGAGGTGGGACAGTTGGCACGCAGGAGGTGGGCAGATGATGGTTTATTGTAAAACTTTCCATATGAGGATGTAACGCCATTCTGTTGCGAGGGTTTCGCTAATCAACTGTCTACATCACAGGCGCCCTTTCCTTTTTGAAGTACTTGTTCAGTGCCAGTGTTTTTTGATGGCAGGACTCTTTCTTTTTGCTGCGCGCAGGGTGCTGTTTGGGCAGGACTCCCTTTCAGCTTCTTCAAGACCTGGGCAAAACATGACACGATTGCACAGTGAAAGACTGGGGTGTTGAGATGAGCGCACATGACTTGAGCACGTGAAAACTTCTTCTCGGTTCCCTGGGTGGTGCACACGGGTCTTTGGGCACCTAGAATTATTGTTGGTTTGAGATTCAGGCAGTGAATCTGGTGTGAAGCTCTGACAGCTTCGTCGAGACTGGAGAAGCTAGGTGATGCATGGTGATGTCAGCACAGGAGATTTCGGAGTCCGGCTCCGGTCTGAGCCTGGTCCAAACCTGGTCCGGAAAACCTCATTGAGCAGTGTTTTTTTTGCTGGAAGTCTCAGACTGTTGACTTAGTACTTTCTGGCCCTTGGAGTAGTATTTGTTGACTCATTGTTGATTAGCCTCATTGAGTCGGTATTTTTGGAATTGGATAAACGCTTTGCTTGGGGAGCTTGGGAACTCTCAGACTCCGCCGAACGCGAGAAGGCGCGAGAATGCGCATTCGGCGGCCGGCGAAGTGGTCGCCAGAAAGAACCACACGCCAGATCACCCCGAGGTCGTCAAAAGAACGCTAGAAAACACACTTATTAATGTTGCCTTCTTTACTGAAAGAACACCCGGAGGTCTTTATGGTCTTTCCGACTCCGCTGGCGTTCCATGCGTTCCATTTGTCCACCCAGACAGACACCTTCCGCGCGCTCCGTCCCGGCCCAAGCTTTGGTTGTCCCCCGGACCAAGCGAAATCGCGCCGGGCAGGTGAACCTTAGAGAACACGACGAACCTCAGATCTTCGGATCTTGGAACTGCCATCCTCAGGATGTCCCCTTCAGCCAGGCTGGTACGGGAGCTTGCTCCGTCTGAGGATTGCACAGCTGCACCAGCTGCGGAAAACGAATGAGATCACGGCGCGCCAACTCATATTGATATGATGAGAAACCTCTGATTCAGCCCTCTTCAGCCGCCGAACTCCACGCGTCGCTTCGCTTCACGCGTCGCCATGGTGCCGCTGCGCTCCGCTTTCGCCCTGGCAGTGGCCGCAGCACGGGAGGGCCAGGCACGACGGGGAGCCGGGACCGGACCGGGGTGCGGCGTTGGATGTGTTTTTTGTATTTTTGGAGCAAGGCAAAGCCAAGCCAGCCAGCACAACTAGCGCAGCGTGCATGGGCTAGCTAGCGAAGTCGGGAGACAATGGAGTTTCTTTCAGAGAGGCATAATCGCAGAAAGAGGAAGAGCTGAAGAATAGTCTTGCGGACCAGGAAGGGGAAGATCTGAGAATCAGAAGGGTACAGTACATTCTGCAGACACTCATGCAAGTTCTACCTGTCTGACGGCTCAACTTGGGACCATTTTCTGCTGCTCAACTTGTGCAACAACTATGTTGCCGAAGGGACACGCTGGCAAAGAAGAACGATGGAATTGACATCACAGGGGAGTGGTTACTCAAAGGGAGCGGGAAGGACGATTTGCGATCGGAGCGTGCTTGCAGGAGAACAGGTAAACCGACACAGATCGTGTAGCGTTTACGCCTGCCGTTTTTTTCTCCGAGCCCTTCTCCAGGCAGCGATGGATGTTCAGGAGGTGCTTGGGTGCTTGGGGCGTGCGAGACGGGGTAGTTCTCTATCTACCTGGGCCCAAATGAGCCTATCCTAAGCATCCTTGGACTGGACAGGAGTCAAAACCCGAGGTGTGTGAGGCGACTCTTAGGCAACGAAAGATACAAGACTTACTGTATATATCGATTTCCACCAAGCATCATTGACCCATCCTGATCTTCGGCATCACAACCAACGAACAAATTGCAAGTGATTTCGGATGTTGTTGCCTCAAGAGATGATGGCCTACTTGCAGAGTAAAGTAGTACAGCCATGTAAGTACATCTTACAAGAATTGCAGATTGTTTCGACGGCCAAAGCGCGCTTCCAAGCGAATGTAAAGCTTGGGCATGGAGCGCTGTAAGAACCATATGTCCCTATCCTAGTGTTGTATATTACAGTATATATTATATGTTATATATATGCTATTGTTATATATATATATATATATTTAAACCACATATTATATAGTAACAATAGTAAACACATGTAATTAAACACCCAAGCAGCACCATGAAAATCAATGTTTCCGCTTCACACGTCCGACCCGTCGTAGTTTCAGGCGGCACGGCGGATGACGGCGGCTCCAAGTTGTGAGAGCTTCGCACCCAGTAGTCGGGGGGCCCGGCGGCCGGAGCGAGCCACATGGTTTGGTATCAACTATGGGTGGCATCATTCGTCGGGGTTTGGAGGCTTTGGGAGACTTTGGGGGTCGTCAGTTGGTCTGCTTGGATATGTTTGGATATGTTTGGATGTTGAATAAGAAGATTGAAGGTCACACTAAAGGCAAAAAGTGAGGTCTTCGCTCTTTGTCTTCGTGCCCCAAAAGGACTAACCCCACCTCCATCGCTCCGGACACCGGCTCCGCGTCCATCGCTCCGGACCGAACGGCGAAAGGTGAAGAGTTGAGAGATGAGCCCTGGTCGAAGTGGTCCAGCGAGCTCCTGCGGGGTCGAAGGCGGTGTCCCGCGGGCTCCACGTGGTCGGGACAAGCGGAGGACGCGGAGGACGAGGAGGACGCGGAGGACGGTGCTTGAGGTGTGGGCCTTGGGTGAGATTCCCAAGGGTCAGGCGCAGTGGTTTTCCAAAGGACTAACCGGAAAGGAGATGACTCTTCAGTGGGTTACACTGTGAGGCTGGGAGGGTGAATTGTTAGTTTCCCTTCAGGATCTTCAGGTTCTTCAGTGGATCGCTGGTGGCGAAAGTGGGTACCAGTTTTTGCCAGGTGTGACCTAGGACCTAAGCCTCACGCCACGGCTCGGTGCCGGTGGCTGGGTGTACCCGGCGGGTAGACTTAGACTTTGTAGTTCCACGGTCTCCCCCCCTTAATTGAAGAGAATGGAGAACATGCCCTTCAAGATCTAGAAGTGATTCCAACAGGGATTGGGGAGAGGCTTTTGAACGCTGGGCCACTGGAAGATTCATGCCACAGGACACCTGCAGTCTTCAAGTGCCCCTAACTCCAAATTCGCCAGGTGGTCTGCTTCGGTGGTGCCTTCTGCTGGTGGTGAAGAGCTCTTCGATGGGTGCTCCCTTGGGGGTTCCCGATCTTTCCCGCTTGGATGCGATTGGATGGGTGGCATCTTGAAGTGACCGGGAGTGGCTGGTGACGACCCCCCCTTGGATGGATCCAGCAGGCACCGCTTGGGCGCTTCGGTGGATGTCGGCATACCGGGACATGGATGACGTGGGGAAACGATGTATGGGAACATCGTATCGAACCCCTGTGTTCTGTGCTTGAACTCGAGAACCCCAAAACTCTCAGCTCATTGAGGCCCCATAGACCCTGCAGTGACCCACTTCGGGAATAGGCATTAGTTAATTTCCATTGCCATTGATATATGTTGATTTTCATCGTTGGCGTCTCGGAGTATCGTTTGTGCCGTTCTTTTTGGAGAATGGAGGGATCGACCTTCCCAAGCCTGCCACTCCGTCTCGACTGCCGGTCTCTCACCGCGCTTCCCGACCGTTCTCTCACCGCTCGGCGGGCTCGCCGTTCCTTTGGGCGTAGACCGGTTCGGCGGGACACGCTATCGCAGAAAGCATCTTCCCGTGGGGAGCACCGAGAGGGGGCCGGAGAGTGGGGGAGACGTGCGGGAGACGTGCGGGGGTTGGCAGATTTGGGCGAAGTGTTCAGCAGTACCTTCAACAAGAGTCCAAACGTGGATGGGGCTTGGTTTGATTCCTCAGATTACTAATCTTTCAGCTGGTGCTTTCTCCGAAATCCTGGAGAAGCTTGTACTTGTAGAAGGAGATCACGGCTAGATGACGACCTTCCCAAACCCGCTCCACACTGGGACATCCACTTTTGGGCATGGGACGAACAGCAACAACACCTGCTAACAAGGGACGATATGGACGATTTAGAGGACGTTGATCTGTTTTTGTTTTGAATTTTGGGATGTTTTGGGAGTTTGATCGCCTTTTTTCTCTCCGTTTGTTTTGGTCATCGGTATTGTCCGTCCGGCCGCTTCGGCAGCCGGAGCCGCCCTTGGCTCGTGCGGCTCTCGGAACTCGCGTGGACGCTCGGAACTCGTGTGGACGCTTGGAACTCGCGCCTGAGGTCTCGTGCCCAGCAATGAAGTTCATGAAGTCACTCCTGGTGCCGAACCGATTGGGGTCGTGACGTTGTGCTGGGAGGGCAGGGGCAAAGCAAGCAGCAGCAGGCATGAAGCGAGAGAGTACTGCTGTTCAACAGACCCTGATAGACTCCAAATGGACATACTTGGACTTGGACTATTATATCGATTTGACCCGCCTAGTGATGAGAAGAGAGAGTCTCAAGCAAGCTATTGAGTCTCAAGCAAGCTATTCACGAAATTCCTTGGGTGTCGATGGGAGAACCCATGACGCACAGCTGAAAAGAGAGACACGACCCTTTTAAAACAAGTACAGTACTTGTACCATCGTGTACCCATTAAATGGGAGTACGAGCAGAGGGTCCAGGCACTGGGCTCCCAGTGCCACGTCTTCCAGACGGGAGGTGATGACATTTCTTGAAGGATTCCTGTGATCTGTTCATTGGAAACACTGCAGATCTGGAATCAATGCACACGGCCAAACCTACCAAACCAACCAAGGCCATACCCAACAAACGCAGCCCACCCCATGCGACGCAACTTCCCCCCCCCAACCCCACGCAGCGCCACACCGGACCTCCACCGGTCCGCCGGTCGCTTCAGGTGGCCACTCTGGCTGCGAGTGGTTCGGGGAGCCCAGCGCCGCGGTGCAGTGCGTGCCACACTGATGCGCCGTGAGGTTGTTAGAATCTGAGATTGTTTAATGTTGGCCAGGAACCCATCTTGCTATAGCCAAGCAATTTAGTGAAGAGAATTCGCAGACTGCATCTCTTGCCAGTTATTCAGAAGGGAAGCAAAGACTCGGATCTGAGGATGGCAGCCATCTTCCCTGCAACAAAACCTGGTTTCATGATGTTTCATGGAGTTCACGGCTCGGTTTCCTGTTTGGTTTTCCGGATTTCCATGGATTTCCTGGTCTTGCCTGGCTGGTTTTCATGTCTCGACGAGGAGTCAGATGGTTTTTTGGGAGGCACCGCTACTCGGCACCGCACTCCAAGGCTTGGCCATCACCACTCGCACGGATTCCATGACCAGCGGCAACCCCATCCGGAAGGCGGGGCCGAGATCTCGCCACGTCTGGGCCGGGCCTATCGCAGCCGCGGACTGGGGTCCTCCCGCCCCGGACCCCGAAGAGGCACCCACGGGATGCATGTATGACTCTATGACTCTATGACTCTATGACCTACTGTATTTGCTTCTTTTTACCATATTTACCTAGCTGAGGGGTGGTTTGATTTTCAGGTTGTCAAATGGGGCGGCATAGATGCCAGTCCCATCGGTTGTGTCTGGGTCCCAGCGTGGGCACATAGAGATCTCATAGAGTCCATCCAAGGCGTTGGACAGAGATATACCCTGAGAGTCAAAGACTGTCAAGGGGAACTTCCTTTACTTTTGACTTCTAGGGCTCTAGTTGAGTGGACCCTCAAAAGGCTCACAAGACTGAGATATACAGACTTGGCTCCAGACGAAAAGCATCTAAAGTAGTGGCACACGTCAGGCCTTTTTTCCAGGGTTTAGCTACGTTCAGCCCGCTGCCTGAGAAGGTGGTGTCAATGATGGAGAAGATGGCCGATAAGATTGAGGATGAAGCAAAGAAGGAGCAGCTTGGACCAAGAATATGATGAGAAGCTCGGGGCTCCTCGTGCAGCTGTTTGTTCGGCAAAGTAGCGAGGATTTTGTGGTGTTCATGGTGCAGTTTTGTCATTTCAAGTTTGGTTGGTGAAATTGTTGGGTCAGTGGCAAGTCAGTAAATGCCGATGTTATATGATTTTATGTGGTGTTATGATGTGTTTCCCTTTGTACGCAGAAGAGGTGGGGAAGAGCCAACATGGGTGGCCAGGTATGGTTGGATGTTGCTGGGCACTTTTCTTGTACAGCACCATCTGTCGGATCATGCTTGGCATGGATCACCAGGGTAGATGGCCTACCCGGGTGGCCTACGGGGGTGGTGCTACCAAGGCGCCTACCATGCTCTTGGCTACCAACTGTGACGGCTTCACGATTGGAATGAATGTCATGCCAGACCAGTTGGCAAGTTTACATTGGAGGGAACACAACCAGCATTTTGTTTAAAAATATAAGTAATTATAAGTTGTGTATATACATACTATATTTATCTTCCCAAAATGAATGGATGGTTGGGTAGGGACATTTTGGGATTTGAAACATACAGGGGTAACTCCTGATCTTGATGCCATTTTGGCTCAAGATCAGGGCAGGGATTTGTTTTTCGCCATGCCGGCGATTCGCCGCACGTCGCTCACGGTGTGGCAACCGGGGGCGCGGCGGTGGCGGCGCGGGCACCGGGGGAGCAATCCCTGCGAGTTGTCGGTGGAGGACCGACGAGCTGATCTGGGGGCCAGGTCAGCCTACATCGTGTCGATTTGGGACACGGTTGAGCGCCGGCCGGACGTGCAGGCTGACCATTGCCGCTGCTGTGGCGTATTTACAGCCTCTTGGTGCGAGGGCTGCTATTTCCGCCGACCTGAGAGCTTTGGGGCGGTGTGCGCTGAGTGTGATCACCTGCACTTGGTCTGTGATCAGTGCAGGTTTGATCACATCTCTTGGGAGCAAGGCCATGCCGCGTACATCGAAGAAGGAGGCCAAGACACCGAGGACCAGGTCGAGATCACCGGGTGGGGTGACAGGGCCAATTCACCCCATTTCGAAGCTACCTCCAGCCAGGTCTCCATTGAGGAGGTCGCGCAGATCCTCGGAATCTCAGCCCAGCAGGCCAGAGACCTCATCAAAGAGCAGCTGTCCGGTACCTCCCAAGCAGCCTCCAGTGCTTCCACCGAGGCAGGCAATTCCTAGGCAGCCCATGCCCCCGCCTGGACCTCCTCCACTGCGGCTGAGGAGGCCGCGGTCGCCTTCTGTGTCGCCTGGGCGCGGCCGCATCCCGGTTGTGACTGTGCGCCAACCGGACCAGGCCATGGAGGCCGATTTGCTGGAGTTGGTTGCCGAGCGCTCGGATGAGTTGGTACAGCTATTTTGCCACCAGGGCGTCCAGACCTGTCAGGACGTGGTTGGAATTTGGTCCCATGGCGGCGAGTTGGTGACGGAGCTTGAGCACATCCAAGGCCCCCTGGACGCCGAAGAAGCATTCCAGGTTAGCGCCTTATGGACGCTTGCCGCTCGCAGGGCCCAAGATCACCACAGGCGCGTTGCCAGAGCGGTGATCGGGAACCGTGTTTCAGTCGTGGAGACCACGTCAATGGTGGTGGCACCTCAAGGCACAGGTCCCAAGGGACACGTTCGTCAGCTGCTGGAGACTGGGTTCCCAGGGCGACCACCAATGCTACTTGCAGCTGTGGCAGCCGATCCCCACACCAAGGCTGAAGCCAAGAGGGCCACCAAAACTCAGGCCCTCTTTGACCTGTTGCTGAGCGATTTTCTCAACATCGCCGAGCTGGGGGTGACCTGGGAAGAGTTGAGCGATCCCGTACGGCTGCAGCAGTTCAAGGATCAGATTATGCAGTCCACCGGACGCCTCACCGAGGCGCGGATTGGCGCCCTGCTGGCGGCTTTGAGGCGATGGCAGCGGTACGCCTCTGAGAAGGCTTTCGCCGTTGCCCAGCCAACACCGCTCCAGTTGGGCGAATTCTTCCGCGCCGTGGCCCAGGGCGGCCCTACAGCAGCATCCTCGATGTTCCAGGCCTTGAAGTGGTTCAGGGTTACCTTTGGCCTCAACTTCAATACAGATCATTGGCTTACCCAACCCTTCAGGCTGCTCCCACCTGATCATCGGGTCCAACAGAGGACCGAACTACAGCCCTGGGAGCTGGTGAACCTGTTATTGATGATGAAGAAAGCATCAGGTACCCACTCGCTGATTTTGACATTTTTTGTCTGGGCAGCTATTTCGTGTGTACGCTTTGAACATTTTCAAAGGTCACATTACATTGAGAGCCACCCCCAGTGCCTGATCTTCGAGTGCTCCCAAGGCAAAGCTCGACGACGTGGAGCACGCCCTCCTTACTCGTGGGCTATGCCAGAACTGGAGTTCCAAGGGCTCAGCATCCACCGGATTGTGAGGGACTTCGTGACCATGGAGCTGAACCCCCAGTTGAATTTCCTGTGGCCGGCCCTCCAACTCAGCTCGGATGATCTCTGGGAGGTCACCGAGGGCACGGCATGGCTGGTGAACAGGAAGATGTCGAGGGGTCGCTTTCTGGAACTCCTTCGTGGCGCGCTCATCACCATGCAGGTGGATCATGCCCAGGCCCGGGGAGCTGGCTACAATAGACTGCGCCGGTTTCTGCCCACCATGGGCATGGTGTGTGGCTTGCAGCCATCAAACCAGCAGGCCATTGGAAACTGGCAGGAGGTCCCCAGTGCCGGAGGCCCCGAACCAGTTCGTAAGAGCAAAGCAGTATGGTCAATGGGCCTTCACTACGCTGGACAGAAGGTGTTGCACTCCGCTGCCGTCAAGAGGGCGTTGGTTCAGAGGTTCCTCCACCTACTTCGGCGCAAGCTCCCGGAACTGGCCCTCAATGCAGATGGTCTCGTGGCCCGTGATGCCTGGACCTGGCCCGAGTTAGCCCAGATGAGAGAGCTTTGGACCATTGGAGGCAGCATTGATGACGCCTGAGGTCCAGCCCCCATCAGAGACACCGCCCTTGGAAGCCTCGGGGAGTGCCTTGCCTGTGGCAGGCCCAGCAGACGAGGTTAAGACGGAGGAGGTAGACAACGTCACACCCCCGGTGGTGGAAGCTGACCCGGCTGCCCAGTCGGTTTCTTCGTCTACTACCTCCTCGTCCGCGTCGGACTGTTCGGCTATGGGCAGCGACTTGGAGGGGGTCCTGGCAGAGGAGGCGGCTATCACAGAAGCCAAGTGGTTCGTCCAAAGCCGTCGAGTTCACATTGTCAGTGGCGTGGTTGATGAGCGCCAGCTGCCGTATTGCCGGGATTCACCTTTCGCCCAAGACCCCAAGAGCCAGGGCGAGGGCTTCGGATTGGTTGTTCGGAGTCAGTTTTGCCAGCGATGCCTGGCACGCATGCCACGAGGCCTCTATGCCTCCCTGGCTGACCAGTGCGGATGGTTGCACTGAGTGTATAAAAAGCCGAGGGGCCAGAGCCTGTGGGGGTGCTGGGTCGGGGTCGACGTGCGTCTAGGTGGGGTTCGGTTTTGACTTGGTCACCGACCGTTCCGACGTCGTTTACCCCAGTCGGTCGTGTTGGTTGGGTCCCCTACCCCCTTTCTCTTTCCCCCCTTGGGGTTGGCTTGAAGGGGGCACCTTCGGTCTGTGACCTAGTTTGGCCTCCCCGCGGATGCCACCGGAATGGGGAGGGTGTCGGGGCGTGGTCATTCGTTCGGACGGACAGGGTGGTAGGTCCGCGACCTCCCCCTCGGAGTTTGCTTTGTCGCAACCCAGCTCCGGGCTCACAGGGATCGTAGCTAGTTCACTCAAGCTTTCGTTTGTGGTGCCCCTACGACCATGAGCAGTTCCAGGCGCATTGATACATATCAGGATGACCGTGGATTGACAACCTGCTTCGCCGGGGCCAACATCCTGGAGGAGTGGAAGAGTGAGTTAGTCCACATCCACAAGTGGGAAACCTTGGAAGATTTTGTCTACTACTTCAATGAGTCTTCCATGGAAACATCATTGGATCAGGTACTCCAGCCCACCAAGATGAAGGACAACAGGTTGTTGCGGGCGCGGCTTAAAGCCGCCCATGCAGCTGGCCTGGAGGCCATTCGTGCAGCCGCTGCAGAAGCAAAACAGCCAGAGGCAGTTGATGAGACACTCCCCGAATCGACAATGCAACAACTTCACAAGGACTTTGCCACCAAGTATGGCGTGGTGTTGGATGCGTTCCTGGAACCATCAGACGCCCTTCGGTCCCGTGTCTATAGGGAATTCCGCAAGAGGACGATGTCGGTCATCAGTGTGGCAAAGGTCCGATCTATTCTCCACCAGTCGGCGCCCAAGCAACAAGAATCAGTCCGCCTGGGTGCGGGCGTTCAGCGTGAGTTTGCAGCCGACGACCATCGTATCGTTCGCACCGTGGTGGAGTACTACTTTTCACTACGCACTTTGGCTTATGCCTGGGCGTGGGGAGGTTTGTACAAGGTGTCAGACTTCGATGGCAATGAGAAGGTCTTCATGCCCCTTGCCCCAGCTATGTCATATGCAGATCAAGCAAGATGGCTTCCCTCATCCGCCGTGGCTACACAGGGCAATCTGCGCTGGAGGAGGCATTACGCCAAACCCATATTGACTGGCGCGCCCCGGGGGTCCAGCCAACCTTGCCTGAGGCAGGTTCCTCCCCAAAACGGCGCGTGACGGAGAGCGACCAGCCACAAGAGAAGGGTCCTGCCAAGGAGCGGCGCATGGTTAAGACGGACAAATGGCCCACTATCTCTATGTTGAAAGGGGGCCAGAAGATTTGCAAGCCATTCAATGATGGGCGTGGTTGCACCAAGGCGGGCTGCAAAGATCTGCGTCAGTGCGATGTCAAGCTGAGCTCGGAGAAAGCCTGCCTGGCCAGCCACACCCGGCTTCAGCATGAATAGGGACAGCGCCCCCCGAGGGTCGGGGAACCCCGGGGGGGCCCAGGCGAGGTGGCCTTGAATGACCCACTTCAGGCTAGTTCGGCATCTTCTGAGGCCCACCGCTGCGTTCTCCTACGACCTGACGGCCACAGTGGCCACACCCCGATGGCTGACCGCCTGTACGGAGCAAAACCTATCACTTGGCGGGGCCAAGGGGATTTGCCTCAGTTCCCGTGGGCAAAACCTTTCAAAGGTACATGGTTGGTCCTGGACCTCTGGTCGGGTATTGGCGGGTTATTGGTTGCTTTATTATCAATGGGAGTTCATTTCTATGCGGTAGCCGCTGAAATGGATGAGGAAGCGGCCCATTGCACCCAAGCCGTCATGCCCCAAGTTGTCCCTGTCAGACGAGTAGAGGATTTGCGCGCCGTGGACTTCATCCCTATGCTGGTCCGACGTTCCTTTCGGGGGGCCCTCCTGGGAGGGGGCTCCCCGTGTCAAGGCAATTCAGCCCTGAACCGACGCCGCAAGGGGCTTGCTGACACACGGTCACAGCAACCGCTTGAGCTCCAACGGCTGGTGTCCGAATTTGAGCAGCTGCCGGCTTGTCAGGGCATGGAGATTGTTGCTTTCCTCGAGAATGTGGCCAGTATGCCTAAACAGGTTCAACAGGCCTATGAGACCTGGCTGGCGGGACCGCCCATCCTACTAGACGCCAGTTCATGTGGCTGGGTGTCGCGTCGCCGGTTCTTCTGGCTTCGATCCCGAAGAGGTGTGGTTGGCCCTGACCACCCACCTCCAGAGTCGTGGCAATGGCGCACATCTACTTCTGGAGTGGCCGAACTGCGGTATGTGGGGAAGAAGCCTCTACCACCGCAGGTTTATTGGGACGACCACTTCATGCCCCTGCTTTCCCCTCAGGTGGTCTTGCAGCAAGCTGGCAAGGGTGCGATGCATACATTCACTCGTGAGTTTTACCACCCGGAGGACCGGGTCCCCGAAGTGAGCCCCGAGGCAGCTGAACGTTTCTACGCTGATCAGCGCCGTTTTCCCCCGGGGGCATATGAGGAGAATTCACTCCTTTGGCAGGGGAGGCAGTGGCGCCAACCGTCGCCTGCTGAGCGCTGCCAGTTGATGTGCTTGCCGCCAGCACTGGTAGCACCGGCTCGGGGCAACCAAGTGAAGCGTACCCAGGTCCAGAACTCTTTCATTGGTAATGGCTTCCATATTCCTTGTGTGGTGGCGCTGTTGGCTATGCTACCTAGTATTTTGGAGGCAAAGTTTGTGCCATCCTTCACCTCCAACGAGGAAGCAGCATTGGGGGCCAGGTTGCGGCATACAGTCTGGGAACCAGGCCGCCTGGCAGTCATGCCGGGTGTGTTGACTGCTACTGATGTGTGCCAGGACCTGCGGCTCCAATTTGCTTTTGCCGACATCCCAGAGCGGACTTGGCAGCAGGTCCCGGCCCGGTTGCAGGCCTGTGATCTGGTGAGTTTGCAAGCTTACCCTATGTGGAGGCGGCTCCGGCAAGAGCCTTGGGAAGTGTTGGGACCAGTCCCTATTTGGGGGCGTATGCGGACAGCTATCTTCGCTGGGCTCACAGGACAACGCTACCCAAGCTCCTCAGCCAAAGGACTGGATCATCTTTTGCCCCCGGGGTTGGGCAAAGATGAACATGTGCAGCAGGCTATGCAACTCCCGTCACCTTTCCATCCTCATGATTGGCCTGAACCCGACGTCTCATTTGTGGTCCAGGCACTGGGTGTCTGGCAGCAGTTTCTCCCAGTTTACAGCCAAAGGCTGCGGCATGCTCTGAAGGCTGTGGAAAAAGCTGTGCAGATCCTGAACCCGTGCCTTGCGGCGGTAAGGTGTACTAGTGCCAACAAAGTAGCGCATGTTAAAAAGCCTGCTTTTGTTGCAACCATGGCATGCCTCCTGCGGTGGCCGGACCGTGATATGGCCCGCCAACTTGTCCAGGGGTTCGCTATTGTTGGGTCCCTTCCGCCGTCTGGGGTGTTCCGAGGTATCCAACAAGCTGATAAACTCCCTTTGGCTGATTGGCTGGGTCCATCCGCCGAAGAGGAGGTACAGCGGTTGATCCGTAGCCGACCCCCCCTGCACGCCCCGGAAATTTTGGCCGTTACTCAAGATGAGATCATTAAGGGTTTTTGCAGCCCACTCCGAACTATGCAGGAAATGAATGATCAATTTGGCATTGGTGGCTGGCGCGCAGTGGAGCGTTTTCTTATTATTCAGCCTGATGGCAAACAGAGGGTCATTGATAATGCCCGCAAGAGTGGCCATAACAAGCATACCTCCATGCAGGAGACCATTTCGACCGTTAACGTTGATTTTGTTGCCTCCGTTGCTCGCACGGTCAATACCACCTTGGAGACCCTTGGGTCCGACCCTCCCGATTGGCTAGACTTGAGATTGGGCACAGATGATTTGCCTGATGCCTATCGAGGCTTGCCAGTCCAAGACGACCATTTGCGGTTCTCCAATGTGGCCGTTTTCGTCCCTGACGAAGGCTGGCGGTTTACCACCATGTACGGGCTGGCTTACGGACTAGAGAGCGCAGTTGTCAGCTTCAACCGATTTCCCCAGTTGGGTATCGCGATTGCCAGACGCTGTACCCTGTCTCTCTGTGCTGCTTACTTTGATGATGAACTTGCGGTTGATTTTGTTCACCATGCGGATGTCTCGCAGCGCGGACTCCAGCTTGTTTTTCAACTTATGGGAGCGCCACCGCAAGCGTCCAAATCATTTGCTCCTGGGCGGAACCGCCACTACCTTGGTACATCAGTACATGTTGGAGATTTTGTTTCTTTGGGATCAATTCGGTTCCAACCCAAGTTCACCACCCAGAGAAAGGTCTTAGCTAAACTTCACCTTGCTCTAGCTACCAACAGTCTGTCTCCAGACGACGCTGGCAAGCTCAGAGGTGACCTCAACTGGATGTTTAGCATGTGCGCAGGCCAAGCAGGTAGGATCGCTGGACCTACGCTAACTGCTTTACAGCATGCTGACTCCCCTAGTCTCTCCCCTGAGGATGGTGTTACCCTCCGGCTTTCGGTCGAGTTGGTCACGTGCCCAGGGCCTCGAGATGTTGCTGTCAGGGCGTCCCCGCGCCAACCAATCCTAGTTTACTCGGATGCGTCCTTCGAACATGAGGTCCTTCGAGTTGGCTGGGTTATTTTTGGCCAGTCCCCTCGCCCACAAGGGGTGACCTGTGTTGTCCCCCAGGCGGTGATTCAGTCCTGGACTGCCCGCACGCAACAAATTTATCCAGGTGAAACTCTTTGTGGACTTTTAGTACCTTGGTTTCATGGAGCCACCTTGCGACACCAGGATATCTTGTGGTTTATCGATAATGAAGCAGCTGTGGCTTCACTTATCCGTGGCTCCAGCTCCCAGATCGATGTCCATACCCTGGTTCAGGTGGCCCACTTCTTATTTCAAAGATTTCAAATTCGTGTTTGGATCGAGTGGATAGACTCTGAGAGTAACCCCTCTGATGGCCTTTCACGAGACGGAGTTTGTGATTCTTGGACAAGATCACAACCCTGGGATGTGTCAGAGGTTAGCTACCCGGAACCCCTCCGGTCCGTGTGTCACCCTGCACACCTTTCCCGCTTTTTAGAGTGCATGGACAGTGGGTGATGCGAATACAGTGGGTGGTATGTTAAGTTCATCTATGATGACTTTCCAAGCTGGTCAGT